CTCTCTCTCTCTCTCTCTCTCTCTCTCTCTCTCTCTCTCTCTCTCTCTCCAGTGGTAGCACAGAATGTGACCCTTCACTCACTTGCATGTGCACATATGTGTCTTCCGCCTGTCTGTCTCTATACTTTGGCAGTCCACCACAATCCAGTGGCCTGAGTGATTCACATGCGAGCAAATGAGCTCCCTCGCTGTCTCTGTCTGCCTGGTATGTGCCGGGCAACGAAAATAATAATGTAGGCACTCCCCAGTCAGATCCCGAGCGGCCAGGCGGGCTGGCCACTCTCCGAAGAGCTCAGGAGCAACATAAAGTATAAATGCAGAAAAGATAAGTTTGGTGATGCATGCTAACCTGAAGATGGGCGATGCACAGGTCCGAAGGAGCACCAATGTGAAGAGTAGGGCTCAGGACAAACAATGCGATCGACAAATAAGCAGTGTGTATTCAGAAACAACCGATATTATGCACTGTAGCGCAGAGGAAGACTCAAAGATATGACCTGACTTGTCAGACGCAGACTGGACTCAAACAGACATCATCACACGTTTCAATCAGCAAGGAGTGGAGTCATGCATGGAAGAAAGATCCCTCCTTGCACACACACATGGGAGGCAAACCACGGATGATGGAGGTGGGGAGAAGACGAAGAGGAGAGAAGGGGGAGAGGACAAGAGTCTAACTCAAAGTAGTCCAAAATAGTCTCCCCCGTCAAATGTCCAATAACAGTCTCTCCCAGAATGCCGAATCAGATCCTGGGCGCTCATAGGCCCGAAATAGTCACTGCCTGGAATCTGTCTCTCCCTCTCTCTCCCTCTCCCTCAGAGAGAGAGAGAGAGAGAGAGAGAGAGAGAGAGGGAGAGAATATTTCAATGATACTATTAGTACTTACTTCATGTGGTTTTGAATTGCAGGACTATTACAAGAGTCTTCTTCCGTCGCAGTTGGTGGCAGAGCGGGGTGAGGAGATTGTCGTCATTAATCCTGGTAAGTTGAGGGCACAATAAACTCATAGGTGTTTGAAATCCAGAATGTGTATCTTTTTCATGTGCAGAATAAGCAAACCTATGGCTTATCATGCGTAATTTGGGAATCGTCCGCTCGTTGAACGAGTTTAGCGGATATACTTTTTCTGGCCTATTTAGAACCTGTCTTTTCCAGACTGGAGATGTTGTCTCCCCATCAACTGGTTGGGATATTGTTGGCTGTAATGATGACAAGGAAGAAATGTTTGGTGGCTTTTGAGTCTTTCCGACTCATCATTACCTCCTCCTTTTGAGATATCAGAAAGACTCAGAACACCTGTGGACAAGGCTGTGGGCCTCTCCACACTACTAATGAAACACAAGAAGAACCAGTGCATTTTCCAACAGAAGCTGCCACGACACTTACGTGCAATGACCCAGCACAGAAACATGCATCGAAAGTCTGAGTCAAGGCTAGGCATGAGAAATAGGTCTGCAGTTTCCTAGAGTCCATCAGAATAGCCATCAATCCTACAGAATATGGTTCGGTCCGTGTCTTAGTCAAAGACCTTTAGATTGCAGACCCCTAAAGAGTCAAGGGATGGGGTAGAACCACCGGTGCAAAGTCTAAGGGTCATAGCTTTTGACCTAGCAAAGTTCAAGGGCAGGTTCAATCAGAGTCTTCAAGCGACATTTATGACACATGGAACCTGTTGTAGCATGAGTAGACTAGGTCGATAGGAGTGCCTGTCGGTAGAACTGGCAGATAGCCGTCAGTAGGATTGCTATGTTGTTGTTGCATTGGTGATTGGAGGCATTGGGAGAGCTTTCATCATCAAGAGACTTCAATGCTTTGCTCATTTTTATTTGGCGTGATCTTGCTTTGATTTCTGCTTTCAGTTTCGACTCAATGAGGGCGTACTCACACTAGGACTTTTTGGCACTAAGCTCTGGCCCCTACCGTGGTCAGATACATCAGGGTCTTGCCGTAGTTACACTCAGAATCATTTAGAAAAGTCCTAGTGTGAGTATGCCCTGATATCTCGTCTTCTGTGAGATGTTGCAATCTGGTTCATTTCTGTTCGCATTGCTGATTTCCTTGTATTAGTGTGGTGAGGCCTTGTGTTATGATATCTAACAACGAATTTGTGTCGGGGGCCTGTCAACGCAGGTGATTGGGATGGGTCTTGAATTAATTAGTTCATTGGTACCCAGCGCATGAATGGTAGGCAAATGTAATTGTTCACAAACAGATCATGAGTTTGAATCCTGATGGATAGAATAATGTTCGGGGGGCCCAAAAGAAAAATAAATATAAAAATTTGTTCCTTGGAGAAGCAGTGTTTGATGTGAGTTCTCCAGAGAACTGTTGGTAAACAGATCATCAATCCGGATCCTGACTGTGAATCAGATGGATATACTAATACTAGGGAATCATAAATTAATGATCATCATTGGTACCAGCTAAACGCTTCGAAAAAAAGAGAAGGAAATAAAAAAGACTTGTTTTGTTGGAGAAGAGTTTGATGTCAATCCTTCATCCGACTTTGTGTGCGAAGTTCGTATATTACTTTGACTTACCCCTTGATGAGACTCTGCATCTCAAAAACGAAATCATAAATTAATAACCTAGTTAGTAATTATCGTTTCTTACTTTTCTGGTGGCTTCATCCTTGTCTTGAATTTGGCATTTGTCTTCTTATCATGGCTACGATCCGGACGTCCGGACCGCCGTCCAGACGGTCCGGATTCGGTCCGGACTCCGGACGTCCGGTCCAGACTGTCCGGATCTGCCAAATTTCGAGGAAAAAAAACAAAAAAAAAACGGTCCAGGACCCTTCCCCATTGAGGAGCCAAGCCCCCAAAATTGTTTTGGTTTTTTTTCAGGCCCTTTTATGCTTTTTTTGGGGGTCCGGACATGCTCTCTCTCTATAATAATTTATTAGACAACCCCAAGTTTTTTATTATGAATAATTCATTACCTTTTATTAGTTTTTTAACTTTTTTAAGTCTTTTTTTAAGGTTTTTATAGTTTTTGACTTTTAACTCATGTTTGGTTAGGAATTCTGACATGACTATGAGGCAAAAGTGGTTTGCATTGTTATTCTGCATAACATACTTTTTTTTCAGATTTTTTTTTTTTTTTTTTAATGGTCCGGACATTTCCGGACCTGTCCAGACATCCGGACCGTCCGGATCCCCCCATGTCTGGAGGTCCGGAAATGTCCGGAAATCCGGACGTCCGGAAACTACCGGACACGGGTACGGTTTCATGTCCGGAAATGTCCGGGTCCGGGTCCGGCGTAGCCATGCTTCTTATGAATGCTTTGTGATGTTGGTTCGCATTTCTGGAAGAGTTTCAATGGTTTCCTGGATTTATTGCTTATTATTTTTGGCTGAGTTTTGACTTTTTGGCAGTTTTTGCAATATTATTTGCTGCTTCTACTTCTGAAGATCTCAGATCGCACACACAAAAAATGCAACTGTTTGCATTGGTTATTTGCTGCACTTCAAACCGCAGTTGAACTGGGTTAACCTGTGGTTAGATTCCACAATGAGCCCTGAGCAGTATGCCCTGTGCGTTGTATACATGTGTGCGCTATACAAGGGGAGTTAAAAGAAGAATGAGAAAAATAAATGGTTTCAGTGTGCCCCTCTTGTTGGTCTTGTTTTTATTTTTTATTTTTTACCATTTGTTTTGCAAAGTGCGCTTCTTTAGTTCATAGATATCTGACAATATATATCATCGGGGGGAACTGTGTGGTGAACCATAGGCAGAGAGGGAGAAGAGGACAAAAAACAAGGGGCTGTGACAGACCATTTTGTCAAAGTTTCAATGTCTCATCAGGAGACTGAACCCTCTACTGTTTGCAGAGTCCCCTAACCAATGATACTGAAAGTGATAATCCACCTTAACCCCGGTTGCGGTAAAGCATCAAAGACTGCCTGACAACTGATACCCTGAGGTGGGCACCAACCACTGCCCTCAAGGTATCTGTAGCTAAAACAAAGCAGACTATCGCTCACCCATGCCAGACGGAAAACTCTACAAACTGCAGGTTAACAACCCATCATAAGCCAGCAAAACACCCACAAAAACAAAGAAAGGTCTGTCACAGCCAGAAAATACACTCCCGACACGCTGCTGGCAATAGGGTCACAACATGGTCACGTAGTGATGGCCCGGACCACCGCCATTCAACCCAGCTGAAGAATATGTGTATATTATATGTCAAGGATGCTGTTTGACTGAGTCTGATGTCCTTCATTGGTTATATGTGTTTGTACCTTGGAAGTTAAGACATTGTGGGAGGAGAATTGTCATTTGCTGCGCGCTTTTACATTTTGGCTTGAATTTTTGTGTCGATTGGAAGGTTCTGCGAATCTGCGGCTGGGATTGGCATCATGTCAAAGCGGGCCGGTGCAGGTAGCACACTATATTGCGCGCTACTGTCCTCGACTGATCAGCAAAGACCAGATCGATGGACCAGCCAACTTGCTTATCAAACCCAATGGAGATCCGTTGAGGGGGTTACGTAATGACTTTGTGAGTGCTCTTCACCTCCTCCTTTCTTCTTTGTCTTCTTTTTTCTTCTTGTTCTTGTTCTCTTTCGTCTTCTTCTTTCGTCTCCTCCTCCTCCGACGCCTCCTCTTTTTTGTTTTCTTTAAACCATTTCTCAATTTATGCATGTCATTCTTGCGCAGTGTTCATGCTAATCTTCCCTTATCATTCCAATTTTAATGGATGTCAGGTAGGACCCTCCTCCTCCTCCTCCTCCTCCTCCTCCTCCTCCTCCTTCTTCTTCTTTCGTCTCCTCCTTGTCGCCGTCCTCCTTGTTTTCTTCTTCTTTCGATTAGCAGAAATAGTGAGTTGATGATTGTATAGAACTCGGGAAAACCTTTGGCATCTTATTGGTGTGTTACTGACAATGGTGTGGGAGTTCTTCTGTGTCATTTGTAAGACGAATGAAAACTTTTTCATGATGGCAAGTTTGAAGCTTTCGGTGGAAGGAACCCCACTAACACTGGATATTGGTGAAGTGAGATATCGCAAGTGTGTTTATTCTTGTTTGCATTGCATGGATCCTTGCATCACCTATCCATTTGAATTTCGAAATTTAAAACCGTTCCTTTTTTTTAAATACATGTCGACCGTTTCTTGGTTTGTGTGTCTCATCCTTGCACAGGGGTTACACTAATCTTCTTTGTCTGTATAATAGTATTATAAAAAATAACTGAAAATATTGATATTTCTAATTTTGGACAATGGTTGGCCTATAGGAGTTTGAGTTTTACTATCTTGCATGTTGAGCATATGGTCCATTCTCAACATCTCTCAAGTATAGTATCTTTGCGGATATTAGTTAGTCCGTACGAGTTCGGTTATCTGTTGCCGATGGATGATTGTTTTTTGGACAAGGTTTAATAGTACATATTCAATATTAGTATATTATATTGATATTAAATTCTTACGAATATCATGGGCCAAAGTCATAACCTCTATTGATTTTCATTCGACTGGATTTTTTTTTGTTTTTTATGTTGATTGCGTCTGTTTTTTAAGATTCACGTGACTGTTTCTTAGTTTGTGTGTCTCATCCTTGCATAAGGGTTACACTAATCTTCTTTCCCTGTATAAAAGTGTATATAGTATTTGTGCAAAATATATGAAAATATGAAATTTTCCAATTTTGGGCAATGGTTGCCGTGTAGGAGTTTAAGTTTTACTATCTTGCATGTTTAGCATAGTCTATTCACAATATCTCTGATATATAAAATCTTCGCTGATATTGGTTCATGTGAGTTCAGTTGCCCATGCATTGTTTTTTTGACAAGGGTGAGTAGCGTACGTTGATACTAAATTATTATTAATATCCCGGGCCACAAGTCATAACCTCTATTGATTTTTATTCTGATTGGATGTTTTTTCTTTTTCATTTTGACTGGACATCCCCCCCCCCCCCCCCTCCCGCCAATCTGACCGATTGCCTTCTTTCAATGGGTGTGGACTCATTGCAGTTCCAGAAGAACCCAATCACAACATCAAGGGAGTTAGCCAGAGAAGCAGCATTGAATGAGGTAACTCATACCTATCCTTTTTTTCTCTTTTACTCCCTATCCTTTTGATATGCAAAGAACTTGAAAGAAGTACAATTCATGCATTCACTATTTGGTTGATTTTATTCTTGGAGGGATACAACTTACAACACTACGGAGGGCCATGTACATCTGAGGTCTGTTGTTTCTATGTGGCTATGTACGTCTCAGGGAAGGAAGAAAGAGAACAAGAGCAGGGATTGTCTTGATAGGAGGAATTGACACTTTGGTACAGTCGTTTCTGCCAGAGAAAAGTTCAGCACAACCAACAGGCCTATCGTCTTCACCAGAATACAACGCTCGGTCATTATAGCTGTACGTGGGCCAACTTTCAGTCCAGATGCAACGATAATGACGGAGCGTTCTATTCAAGTGACGATTGCAGCGCAGTTGGTACACCCATGAGCTGTTGAAATACATACCCGAGCTCCACTCCAAATGATGGAAATAAATTTAATAAAATAATTATTCATTTTTAAATTACTTGGGCCTCGTCTGTTGAAAGATGATATCTCAAGGCTTTGCCCTTCAAAGAAAAAAGGAAGAAAAGTTCAACACACCTCTGTTGATAGGTCATCTAAGTGATGAGTACCTCGTTTTTTGAAGTTTGCTCAACGATCGTATCATGCTGCATACAAATTATATGAAAGAACCAAGACTTAGAGAACTCATAGATTGAAGTACATAAAAAAAAAACAGAACTGAAAAAAAAATGAAAAATTGAAGAACAATCAAGTGGGCTATTACTTCCCAATCTGTCGATGGGGTCTGTAAAAGGTAGTGGTCTTTATGCTAACAATCCGCATGACTATCAATCATTTTTTTGCTTAAAAATCGAATGACTATCGGTTTCTTTCTGCTTAGAATCCGAATGGCTATCAAATTTCTTGTTGCTCAGAATCTGAATGGCTATCAGTTTTCTTTCTGCATAAAATCCGAATGACGATCAGTTTTCTTTAGAATCCGAATGGGTATTAGTTTTCTTCTGCTTAGAATCTGGATGACTATTAGTTTCTCTCTGCGTAGAATCCGAATGACTATTACTTTTCGTCTGCCTAGAATTCGAATGACTATTAGTTTTCTTTCTGCTTAAAATCCGAATGGCTATTAGTTTTCTTTCTGCTTAGGATCCGAATGGCTATTAGTTTTCTTTTTGCTTAGAATCAGAATGGCTATTAGTTCTCTTTTTTGCTTACAAACCAAATGACTATTAGTTTCTTTTCTGCTTAGAATCCGAATGACTATCATTTTTCTTTCTGCTTAGAATTCGAATGACTATTAGTTTTCTTTCTTCTTAAAATCCGAATGGCTATCGATTTTCTTTCCGCTTAGAATCCGAATGGCTGTTAGTTTCCTTTCTGCTTAGAATCCGAATGGCTATTAGTTTTCTTTCTGCTTAGAATTCGAATCGCTATTATATTTCTTTCTGCTTACAAACCGAATGGCTATTGGTTTTCTTTTTGCTTAGAATCCGAATGGCTATCAATTTTTCTTTTTGCTTAAAATTTGAATGGCTATCAATTTTCTTTCTGCTTAGAATTCGAATGGCTATCGTTTTTTTTTCTTCTTAAAACCCGAATGGTTATTAGTTTTCTTTTCGCTTAGAATCGGAATGGCTACTAGTTTCCTTTCTGCTTAGAATCCGAATGGCTATTAGTTTTCTTTCTGCTTAGAATCCAAATGGCCATTAGTTTTCTTTCTGCTTAGAATCCGAATGGCTATTAGTTTTCTTTTTGCTTAGAATCTGAATGGCTATTCATTTAAGTGCGCTGAAGTCTCGCAATGGGAACTCGTCATGCTTTCATCAATCCTCTCCTCCTCCTCCCCTGCTGTTTTAAACTATCACTTTCTCCATACCTGATTGACCTGCGGAGCATAGCCAAGCCACGTAGCATGCTGGGTTTTGGATGTCCAACATGGTAAAACCCCTGGGTGTCCTCGGTGGTGATGGTTTAATCAACTTCAATGTTATTTTATAATAATAATTTTACTATTTTAGTTATTTTCGATTATTTTGAGAATTGTCACCCATTGGCATCCACGGAAGAGGAGTGGTGTTGAAAGGGAGCAGTCCCTGGCATTATTGTATATCCTCTTTTTTTTTTTTTTTTTTTTTTTTTTTTTTTTTTTTTTTCAAACAGAACCTCTCGGTTCTGGCTCCTGCCTTTGATTCCATCAGGTTTCAATCTTTCATCATCTGCTTACTGCGAGTTACATATGTGGCCCATTCAGCCCCAAGGGAAGGGTTTTAGGAAACATGCTTTTTATGGATTCCATCTCAGGTTTGCTGGAAATAATGACACGGCTAGAACCGCAATGCGCGTTATGGAAAAGGCAGGGGGCGCGGCGCCGGCGCCGTGCTGCTAAGCGATGCAACGCTGGGGCCCGAAGTTGCTGGCGCTGGAAGCCATAGCCAAGGTCGCCACGCCTGGTGCTTCCAGCGGCTCACGTGAGTTGTGCTCTTGCGTTGAAAACACAGACGCGACACACTAATTGCAATCAGGATCGACGTGTATTCATGCGTTTGGTCTTCGGATATGGAACTTTATGGACCGTGCCATTGATTACACCGATCAATTTGGATTACTTGGAGCTCGAAGACTGGCATCTGTATGTGCTGCAGTTGCTGCTTCACCGCACCCTTGTTTGTCATCGATTGGCCAGGGGAGTAGACTTGTCGGAGCATGACGAATGCTCTGCCTGCAGATCGACTTCCCGTAAGTCGGACTGTGATGGGCGATTGTTGCAGGCGTCTGGGTGCTAACTGGCAGGAGAACCAGGTTATCTTGATCCAAGTGTCAATTCTTACCACGGACGGCGCTGTGTTAGGCACGTTTTTTAGGTGTGAGTTGCATCTGTTTAGTTGGTTGATTTTCTTGTTTGGTTGGTTTTGCTGCTGGCGGTTTTGTCAGTAGGGTTTCGTAGCCGATTTAGGCTAATGAGAGAACTGAGGCTTTCTCTAGGGGTTTGCGGAGAGTCTTTGTTGTCCCTTTTTTGTATTTGCTGGGTTTGTGTGGGTGGGTTAGTCTGGGACTGTGAAGGTCAGTGTGTTGTAGCTCATGCTTGTGCTGCTCGAGTGTTTGCGAATCCATGAATGGCCATGATGTGTGTGTGTGGGTGGGGGGAGGGGGGGGAAGGGGTGTGTGTGTGTGTGTGTGTGGTTTAGTTACCTTGTCAATTTTCAAGAACTAAGATGGTTTTGTTTTCATACCTTTTGCCTTGACTATCTACATAGGCTGAGCAATCGCTGCAGATGTGGTTTGGTTACCTTGTCAATTCTCAATAACTAAGATGGTTTTGTTTTCATACCTTTTGCCTGGACTATCTACCTAGGCTGAGCAATCGCTGCAGATGCAACCAACTGCTCCAAGAAGCCCTGCCACCAACAAGGTAAAAAAACACATCTTCTGTGCAGAATACTCAGGTCCACTTCTGCCCATATAAACTTTTGCTAAAAGGGTCAAAAGCCACTGCAAGGAATTCAGAACGTCTTGCCTGTTCGATATTTGTGTGCCCTGGTAGCCAGTACATGGATAACTCCAGCCTACCCTCCTCGCACCCCACCCCAAAAAAAGGAGAAGAGAAAAAAGAAAGCAACTTTTCTGTCCTGCTTCTTCAGAGGTGGTGTGATGCCGCCACTATTTTGATTCGTGAAACCTGCTGTGGATGCATGGAATTATAATATCATTATATGATGCAAAATTGCAAATGTTTTTTTTTTTTTTTTTTTTTTTTGTTGTTGTTGTTGTTGTTGTCGACTTGTCGACTCATGAAATGACTCGCACAGTTACAGACTAAGAAATCTGAGCTTTTCTTCGGAAGTTGGTGTCTTGGATCTGTTTTGCTGAGATTTCGAGTCTGCGGGCTTTTTTTTCTATGATTTTCTGACTGTGTGTGTGTCCTGCTGATGATGGATGTATGCCGTGTGCTTGTCTAGCTCCATGTCCCTGCGCTAACTCTGTTTTCCATGCTGTGTTTCTGCATCTCGGACAGATGTAGATAAGCAAATTCGTGTAGAGACACGGACATGACTGCAAATTGGCTACACAGGAGGACATACCAGGAATTCTCGGATGGCCAGGGGCAGAAGTAGAATGTGCTTGGAAGCCGGTAGTGATTTTCCAGCAACTTGGTGAAGCCCTGGCATTGGGTAGGTTTAGCAAGTAGGTGATAATGGTACAAGGCCTGCATCGGGGTTCAGGATACAGGGATTGTAGGTAGGATGAGAGTTTGCACAACTTTGCAGTAATGTTCCCGCCAAAAAGTTACAGAATCAGTAGGTCAAAGATTTGCACGGGTAGAGACTGAGAGCACCTGGGTAGAGGGTGAGGAGGCTGAGGGGCAAAAGTGTATATCATTCGTTGCATTGAGTAGGCTGGTCACGGCGTGACTGAAGAGCAGGGCCTATGTGACAGATGTCCCCGCCTGGCTCAGCTTTCCGATGTTCTGCTAGGTATGCGAAGCGATGTCGATTCATAAGCCATATAGGAGATCAACAGAATGCAGGGAGGTGAACCAGGATACGGAAATAGAGGCCCCTGAGTCACAAAGTACGTCTTTGTCGTCTGTGAGGGCGCAGAAGGTGAAGCGGTGCCCTTTGACTAAATTGAAATGGATGAGTGCAGTGACAGACTGACAGTGGGTACCAGGGAGGGGAGTATGCCGCTGCCGCTGCTGCAGGCCAAAAGGGAGCCAGGATTTTGGTGGTGGGAGCAGGTCCCAGTCACAACCAACGGTTGGATGGCAACAGCGGTGAGGAGGGGAGGTTATAGGGCCCCCTGTTGTTATCCCCCACCTAGCACTCGAGCAGGGCGAGCCTTGGAAGCAAATGAACTTATCTGAGAGTCAGTGGCGGTGGAGGAGGAAACCCCCTCAGTGCTTTAGTGTGGGAAGGAGGGCCATATCATCCCCTAATGTCTTATGTGGCAGCAGCAGCAGCTGCCACATCAAAAGGCAGCAAAAGAGGGGAGCCAGTAGAGATTTCAGCCGTCTCTACTGGGGCTGCGAATGAAGGTAGTGCGGACATAGAGGAGACATTGCCCAATGTGTTTGTGTCCTTGGCCTCCCTGCTCTTGTCTCTACCGAGGCCGAGGTTGGGCCCTACAGGTAGGAAGTCCCTACTGGCCTGGATCCCGGTGTAGATACCTGCCCAGTCTGGGTCCCAACTGAGGGCGTACCGGCTAGTTACCTAGGTGGCCTGCATTGGGTCCAAGTTTCTCTCAGCCCCCGGCCTTCTCTTATGGCCGGCCTGGATTGTGTTGGGCGGCCTTTGCTTAGGGTTGCCAATGCCTAAAAGCCTTTCAGTTTTCTACTTTCTTTCTTATAAAGCCCGTGCAAAAATCAACAACTTTTTTCCAGTTTTTTGCCTTGTTAAAACCATTTCTCCCAGCCTCCTGAACCCTTCTACGTCCCTCTTCTCATTGTCTTTTGACTCTTTTGAGTCTTGACATGATTGACATGACTGCTGAATAAGGCAAAAAATTTGAACGAGTTCCCAATGAGAAATGATGTCGAACAAAAGTCAAAACAAAGACTCCTCAGAGTCCGCACTTGATTTAAAAAAAATAGATGATGTCTTACAGAAAAGGTACAGTCTAGCTTTAGTCGTTTTAGCCTTTTGAGTCTTGTCTTGGGATAATTAACTTCTAAGGGCTTGTCTGTCATTTCTTGGGAACTCGTTCGGAGCTATGCTATATTCAACATCTTGTTCTTCCTCCTGTACTGTACTCTCTTCCCAATGTGGCACTCGTGTGCAAGGCGCATTAGAAGTGGTATGGAGATCCCAAAGAATGCCAACTCTCAAGGCTATGCCAACCTAGCCTCCACAGAGTTCGGCACTACATGACTGTGGCTCACACAACTCTAGAATGTGTGTGTGTGTGTGTGTGTGTGTGTGTGTGTGTGTGTGTGTGTGTGTGTGTGTGTGTGTGTGTGTGTGCTTGCCAGCCATATTGAATGGGCTGGGAGACGGCCTGCAAACTCGTCACTAAACGAGGTGCAACCTGTTACCCCCTATTGGACAGCTCTCATCCGCATTTGGAGAGAAATTATGCCAAAAAAAGTCAAGAAAGTTGAAGAAACCTAAGTCCAAAGAGGAAGTCCTGCGTCAACCGCTGTTCGGAAACCCATGTGTAAGGGATGCAGGGGGCCACTCACTGTTACTTACAAACGGGCATCGATGGCTCTCTTGGGTCAGACATGGGGTCTGGCGTGTCAGCCACATTTGGGATGAAGAGGGGAAAGACTGGATCGGTGAGGAACAGCTGAGAACACGCCTAAAGGGATGTCACCACCGAGATGAGAATCTGGCAACAATAATCAACAGCATTCCGGTCAGCTGGAAGGACATATTAAAAGAGGACTTCTCTTGGAAATCAGGGGAGCGGGGAGTTCTGACACAGGAAACGGTACCACAAAGAGCCTATCAATTTTTATCGCAGATCTCCTGGATCAGACTTTGCAGGAGTCTTCACCTCCTTCCCAATAGATCGGACCAACCCCAAAACCCTAACCATCCACAACATTGATCCACAAGAAGAGACCCTGAACTCATATACTCTTCGAAAAGTAAGGACACTGGGAATCTGGCCAAAGACTATGTTCCAAGTAGATACAGCAATTCAAGATTTAGAATTCGACCCAGACGAATGGGCTTGGACCTCAGGCAGTAACAAAACATGTAAGACCCCCAGGCACATAACCCAGTACACAGTCAGAATGGGGTACAGACTACTACTGAAAACAAAGGACCCGGAGCCTGTAGTGAAAGAAAGATGGACTAAGCTGCTAGGGCAGAGAATGGAGCCAATCTCCGAGTTGCCCTGGACGAAATACAAATCAATACGCCCAGTCAAATCAGAAGTCTTCAATGGTTGATCACATACAATGCCCTCCCAGTAAACTCTTGGCTACACGTCCGTAGAAAGAATAGCGACCCAAATAGTTCAGACCAATGTGTGGTCTGTTCAGACAACGAACAGGAAGATTTAATTCACTGTCTGATAACCTGCAAATTCGCTACTGATTTATGGGCGAGAGCCTCACTACTGTGGGACCACCTCTTTCTCTCTTCCCTTCCCGAACACCCGATCCAATTACTTTTATGGACTAACATCCCTGCTCAATTTACTAAATCTGAACGCATCTGGTTCGGGATAATCAGGAAGGTAACACTTTGGGTCATTTGGAAGGAGAGGTGCGGCAGGACCATCGACAAGTCAAGCAACCCGAGTGAACAGATATTGGCAACGACGAAACCTCTAATGGAGACGGAGATCCGATGCCAGTGGAGGAAAGTCACACTCCAAATCCAGCAGGGCCCGGAGAAGCAGGAAGAGCTGATATCAAAGTTCAGGAGAATTTGGCTGGCCCACGGAAAGATCGCTGAGATTCACGGATCACAAATCAGATGGCAGGACTGGCATAACTCGGTGGCTGCCCAGGGGACACAAAATTCACATTGTGACCAACAGCAAGACTTCAGAGCAACCTGAGATGTTCCACGGTTATGTCAGTTCTGATCTCTGTTTTCCTTGCTTTATCGTTGACAGATTCCCCACACAGAGGGATTGGAGAAGGGATCTGAGAGGGGACTCAGGGAAAGGCAAGCTGACAGTCAATCCTCCAATCTAGTGGAGTAATCAATGCTGATCAGGGACCTTTCGAACATTCGGTCAAGTCGGTATCCCAGCAGAATACCCAGGCACTTGAGGAACCAGCTCCAATCTGGGCCTCGAAGAGCATCCAAGATACACGCGCGACAGGCGGCAGCCGGTGTTTCACATGGAACACATGGAAAAAGATTAATCTCCTTTAGGGTTTAGGGTTTAGGACCGAGGGTTTGGACAGAAACAAGACAAGCAGGGGTTAGAATACAAAGGATTTCACAACGCTTATCTGCGGGGCTGAGGGTTTAGACAGCATTGGAAGCAGTTGTAGTTTCTCAGACCTTTCTTGCTTTGCACGTTTTATCTGACAGCTTCTTATGGTGTAAGCACTACTAAGCAGGGCAAGCTGACAGCGAATCCTCCTTGATGTTGGAGTAATCAATGCTGATCAAGGTTCCTTCAGCCAGACGGAAGGAAGCGTGTGTGTGTTCTATGATGTAATATTTTCCTGACTTGCCGGTGGAATAGGAACCGGACTGATGCTCCCCAGAATGGAAATGGAGCCAGGGCCATAAGGACCTGTTTAAAAAA